GGTGGGTGGGTGGAGTTAGTGTGCATGTGCACCAATGTATCTTTTTAGTTTTGTTGCTATTCTGGTGTGTTCTAGAGTTGTGTGGAGCAGCAGCCCTGAACTGCTGGCCAGCAGAGAGCTCGCGTCTAAACAGAGAGCATGTTTACTTTGTTGGCAGCTGCTCAGTTTTTTTTTTTTGGACTTTGCCAGTAGCAGTTGAGTTTTTTAGTTTCTCTTTGGACTGCCTAGCTCCTAGATGTGTGTGTGCAGAAATAAAGACTACTCTTTCTTTTCTTTTCTTTTTTTTTTTAAAGATGACCAGTAAGGGGATATCAACCCTTGGCTTGGTGTTGTCAGCACCACGCTCAGCCAGTGAGCAAACCGGCCATCCCTATATAGGATCCATACCCATGGCCTTGGTGTTATCAGCACCACACTCTACCGAGTGAGCCATGGGCCGGCCTAAGACTACTCTTTCTTCAACCAAGGCTTCAAGGACCTTTCTTCCAGTTACCTAGCTTGTAGACCTGCGTGTGAAGGGTTTGTGACCCAGTCTGGACAATGGGCTTGAGGGTTCTTTGAGCTCCAAACCCAATCCTAGCTCTACAAATGGTATAGAGTTTGGCTGGTTAGTTTAGTTGGTTAGAGCATGTTTTTATAACTCCGAGGCACCAAGGTGAAGGGCTTGGAACCGTGTACCAGCCAGCCACCAAAAAAAAAAGAAAAAAAAAAGGTGTTTCTAGACACACTGGATAAGTAAAAGAATTTTTTTTAAAAGTCATGGTGTGTTTCTATGTGGGAACAGACAAGCAGATACTGGAGAGAGGGGAGGTGAGGGTAGAAGCTGGGACCCAGGTGAATGGATAGGAAGGAAGCACCATTTTCCCTAAGACAAGAGGGAAGGAGGAAAGGTTAAGACATGAATGTGTTGAGTAAAAGAAGGGAGTGTAGGTGACATTGGTTGGTATTTTCCTAGTAAGGACAAAAGCCATAGGGGAAGGCAAGCCAGGGATCAGAGAAGTACCAAGAAGGAGGAAAAAACACAGACCAACTAAACAAAGAATATGCAAAGCAAAGAATGGACATGGACACCCCAGAGTATTGCAGACATACAGGTAAATAAAACAACAGAGGGCAGACTGCTGTGGGGAAGAAAAGATCGACCAGAGTCAAGAACAAAGTAGAAACAGAATGACTTTTCAGGAAGGAAGTTCCTTGCTTCTCCTACAGGACCAGGAATCCCCCTATGAGAGGAATGGTTGGTACTCTGTGGCTGGAAATTCCTCAAGATGGGTGATTATTTATATTCCACATTTTCACAAAATTCTTCAAAGTGAGGACCAAAGTCCCTGAGGTAGAGAATTACCCCTTCCTTCTTTTCCATATGCTCTCTGAGGATTGGGCTCTGCATACAAGAGACACCCAAAGCTTCACTGGTGAACTAGCTGTGACCTTTCAGGAGGTGACACTCAGCCTCTCCACTCCCCACCTGCAGCTGATGGAGAGTCCTCTGTGAGCAGACTTTGGTGCCCTAGTCATTCTGATCTCAATCAACTGCCTTATCAATATATCTTTAGTCCAAGGTTCAGGACAACTTATCACACTTTATAAGCCATATATATACATTCACAATATCCATTTGTTCTCAGGAGGTGGCAAGGTAGGATCATCTCTTTTCCTCTCCTTATGATATTCCTTACATTCTAATTTTTACTCTTTTCTATCATTCCTTTACTTTTTTCCTCTCTCTTCTCTATCCATGCTCCTCTAACTAATTGGTAGAATCTTTGACCTCCACCTCCTCTGTTTCATTCTCCCTTCCTAGAACCAGAGTCCACCGCAGACTTCTAGGCTTTCTATACTTGAAACAACCCCACTGCTCTATCATGGCCACTGAACAGTTTGCCAACAAACTGCAGGAGGAAGTGATCTGTCCCATCTGCTTGGACATTCTGCAGGACCCTGTCACCATTGACTGTGGGCACAATTTCTGCCTCGGACGCATCACTCAGAGTGGGGAAGCATCAGAGGTTTTTTTGTTCCTCTAAGGAGGAACACATTCAGGCCCAACTGGCTGTTGATGAATCTGGTAGAGAAAATCCAAGCTATGGGTTCCTCTGAGATGCAGCCTGAAACGGAAGAGCTGAGATGTCCGAGACACAGGGAGAGGTTCCATTACTTCTGTGAGCATGATGGGAAGTTCCTCTGTGTGGTGTGTCGTGAATCCAAGGACCACAAATTCCATGATGCCAGCTTGATAGAAGAAGCTGCCCAGAATTATCTGGTAGGTATCCCTGTCCCCCCATCAGACCATGAGTCCAGTGAGGAACTGAAAATTGTCACCTCCTCCCTGTGGGTTGCACCCCATGGCATCACCCCTTACACTTGAGTAGGCAGTTCACAGTTGGGCACAGTGGGTTCAAAGATCTGAGTCTGGGGAACAGCTGTCTGTTGAAATCAATGCATAATGGAGAGTGGAAAGGATGTGGAATTTTGATTCAGAAGGTTTGGGCTTCTGTCCACTCTCCTGAGTTTCAAGGAATCACTTTACCTCTCTGAGCCTCAAATCCCTTACCTCTCTTACAGTGGTTAGTAGGACAGATGAGGGAGAGTTTGTGAAAATTCTTTGATACTCTCAAAGCACCATCCAAATATTAGTCATAATTAGTAATAAATAATAACATTCTTGTCTTTTAGGTCAGTTAGGCTCCAGATTTCTTCCTTTCCATCGGTGTCCTCTTGCCCAATCTGAGAAAGAAAGGGGGTGTCTATTAATAATTACCTAGGACACCCCCCCCCCGGGCCGCGCTGAGAGTCCCTCCGGTTCCCCTGAAAGACCAGGAGGGTTTTCTGAGGCGAGAAAACTCCCCACACAGCCTGCCCAAACGTCCCCTCCCCACAGGGGAAGATTCGATGGCAGGTCGCGTTCCTGCAGCATCAAGAGGAGACTGTGCAAGAGAAGACGCAAGGCGAAGCGAAGACCAAAGCCTTCCCGGTAAGAAAAAACTCCATCCCATGGTCCTCGGAAGCAGAAATACCTGCTCTGTCAAAGCTCCTAGAAGCCCTTATTACTCTGTCCCCCCAGAAAAAGACCCGGTGACAAAGAAACAGTGGCGCAGAGCAGGATGGGGTGCGGGAGGGGCAGCCTGGAAGGGCCGAGAGCCCGCGGGCCGCGCCGTCTCCGCGCTGCAGCTCCAGCTCCGCCCGCTCGGTGGTAGCAGCGCCCGCCGGCTGCTCCGTGCCCTGCACCTGCCGGCAGGTGCTGTAAGGAGAACCCGCGCTGGTCTTGGAATCGGAAATACCGTTTTACCGCCCAGCTCTGCCCCTCACAGGCGGTTGCTAACTAGAGACTGACTCCCCAGATAGAAAATGAAGGCATTGTAATTCCACCCAACGCCTTTACCTGTTTCTATGTGTCAAAGGAAAAATCTACGTGAAAGCAGATTATAAAAAGCCTTCTGGAAGTGTATTGCAGATCCTTGACGGCAAAAATGATAAAACATAAATTAATGATTTAGCCTAAAACTGAGCAAGTGCTTTTAACAGTTCGTTCTCCTCACCTTTCCTTTCCTCCAGGTCTGCAACATTGCTCTGCATTGGTACTCCATGTAAACTTAAAAAAAATTAAAACTGAACAGAGTGGGCTAGAAGGAACCTTGAGGCCATCCTCTCATCTTCTGCTCTCCCTTGCCTCCAGCTTCAGGTGGAGTATGAGCGGCAGAAGATCCTCACAGAATTCCAGCGCCTGCACCAGGTCCTAAAGAAGGAAGAGATTTTCCTCGTGTCATGGATCGACTGGCTCGGGTCACGAGGGAGCCAATGGAGGGAAACACCACGTCACTTCCACTGAGGCACAGCTGACCTCTCTCAGGAAGCTCGTTGATTCCCTGAAGACCAAGCAGCAAATGCCTGCTGGACAGCTGCTCGAGGTGAGACACAGAGTCCCTTGAGGGCAGGTAGCCCAGCCCTGCTCTAGTCTCAGGTAAGAACACCGACCATCCGGCAGAATACCTGAAATTGCCCCCATCATCCTACCTCTAGCCCAGCGCTGTCCAATAGGAATATGTGAGCCACATGTATCATTTAGAATTATAACGTGAGCCACATATGTAATTTAGAAATACAAGCCACATGTGTAATTTAGAAATACAGTTGAGCCACATGTGGTTTAGAAATGTAATGTAAGCCAGATATGTAATTTAATATTTTTCTAGTAGCCACTTTAAAAAGACAGAAAGAAGTAAAATTAATTTTAATGAAAGATTTTTATTAACTCAATATATCCAAAATATTACTCTTTCAGTCTGTAATCAGTATTTTTAAAGTATTCTGAGTTTTTTGGGGTTTTGTCTTTGTATTGAGACTGAAATCTGGTATATATTTTACATTTTAGTACATCTCAATTTGGATGCTAATTGTCAATTGTTGAAGCAAAATGTAGTCCTGTCAAATCAATAAAGTTATGCTTAGGGCTGACCTGTGGCTCACTTGGTGCTGATAACACCAAGGCCACGGGTTCGGACCCCTATATAGGGATGGCCAGTTGGCTCACCTGGGAGAGTGTGGTGCTGACAACACCAAGTCAAGGGTTAAGATCCCCTTACCGGTCATCTTTTAAAAAATAAAAATAAATAAATAAATAAATGAAGTTATGCTTACTGGAAAAAGCATTTTATGCTGCTTCAGTTTTAAATTAAATTTGAGTTAGTGAAAACTAAATTAACAATTCAGTTTGGTGGAATATACTATAAAGCAAATGTACTTCAGAGGGCCTGGTTTTCCAAAGCCTTGCACTGTAAAATATTGACCTTGTGGAGGACTGGAAATTTTCCTCAGGCTATAAAGTCTCTGGTGTAAGATAAAGATTTGTGGCACAGCAAGGTAGCAAAATCAAGACATGACTCTATCTCAGGGAACCTGAGAAAATTCAAATGTAAGGAAGAGGATGTCACCTCCTCCATCCACATACCTCCAGGGGTGGAATGTACCTTCCCTGTACTCCCCTGAACTGGATCTCAAACATGTCGATAATAATCACTGGTCCCTTCAAATGCAGACTCTCTGCTGAGTACTTTACATGCTCACTGTGCTCCCTTTCAGGCATTTCTTATACTCTGTCTTCATTATATTGTATTTGTCTGCCTCCCTGGCTCCTATGAGAGTAACAAGACGGGGCCTGAACTTATGTCCTTCAATCTCTCAATGTTTTACACCTTCTTAGTCCATTATGAATATGAGACAAATTCAACTCCTACTTCTCCCAGGCACTTCAAATCAGTGCCTTGCTGTGTGGTCCTGGGTTCCGTGCTCAACCTCTCTGGACTCTCTCCATTTCACTCCATTCTCTGCTGCCAGACAGCCTCCAGGCTGATAGGAAGAAAACATGAAAGCATATTCTTCAAAGGCATGAATGAAAACTACATGAGGAGCTGTAAGTGGGGAATGATGGTTGCTCCTGCATCTGGAGAAAGTGAGAAAAGCAAAGGGGAATAATTTCGTATCGATGAGTACATGAAAGTCACATATGGGTGAATGCCAGTTGAGAAGAACAGGCATATAGATATATTTTATTATTTTAAACTCAGGTAACTCACAAAACAGTAACAATCCCCAAATTTAAAAGTATCCAAAAGTAATAGAAAATTACGAATTTATTCCTACTCCCCAGAGACAGGGAGGAAAAGGTGGGACAAGGAGGAGGTGGAAGCTGCTCAGTCTCTGTAGTCTTAGCTGGCCTGCTGGTCACATACTAGATTTCTGGGCAAACTCCTCTGGGTGTGAGGTCAGCACAGCCCAGGGGATGGAGACCCACCATAATAACAACCTGTGCCAAAGTAATCAGAGATGGTTCTGCCACCTGAGATGGTAATTTCCTAAAGGATCACTATGTGTTAAGCACCCCCCATCCAACATTTCAAAATCCCACAACTATCCTCCACGGTAGGTGCTATTTTCTGTGATTTACAGTGAGGCCCCTGTAACTCCAGGGTGGTGAAGTTAGTTACCCAGGCCATGTGACTATGAAGTGAAAGAGACAGAATTGACTCATTTCTCCAAAGCCAGAAACTACATAATGCATTCCAAAACCACAAAACAGGATTTAGGGATTCTGTTTCACCAGTGTTTCTCATGAAAGGAGTTATTGGTGTTTGGACAGGATTTGTTGTACTCCATGGCTTGTGCTCCTTTGAATGTTTAACAGGCTCCAGGAAGTGCTATAGGCCGGTACAGAACCCCCGCTCCCGCTGTCACTGAGACAACCTGAAAGGTGTCCACACTTCCCTGTGGGTAGGGAATGGTCCCCACTGAGAACCACTGACTATTCTTATGGATGGTGTCAGGGTGCTTATTTTTGTTTTTAATTTACAGCTTCTGGTTACCAAGACCAAAGTTGGTTTTCTCTCTCCAATTCCTAGGGAGCCTGTTACAGAAAAATAATCCCCAAACAAACAAAACCTCTGAGCCTGAGTCACCCTCTCCAGGTAGGAATCCTGTCTCTGAACACTGGAAGCTTCCTACCAGGGTAATGAGAGGACCTCCAAGTCTACAGGTGGTCAAAATACTCTATCTGCCCAAAGCAGAGAGGGGAATGGTCTGAACTGGCACCACAGGGAAGGAGATTAGACTGCAGAAAGAACTTCCTAACACACGTCACCCTTCCTGACCAGAGTTAGGTGGGAATGAACAGTTGCTCTCAACTCCAACCTGAGATGAAAGGGAATAGGGAAAGAGCAGAAAGAGGGATTAAGAGAGACTACAGTAAAAGGGTCTGGGGGCTAAGAGGTAGGGAGGATGTGGAATCTGTAGTTCTCAAAGACTTCAGGTGCCAGAGATGTCATGGGCAGGTATGGGGTGGGTGGCAGGAATCTAATTCATCTCCTTTACTCCTTCCCAAGTTACACCTCTCCCAGGAAGTAATAGCCCCCCGTCAACTTACCCCTAACTTGTTCAGGTGTACTTTCTTGAGTTTAACCTCCATTCCTCCTACTGTGTCTAGAGCTCAGGAGCGCTGCCTGGCAATGGAGGATTATTGCTGACTTGCTCCCCACCTCCACCTCTCTTTTCTTCTTTCCTTCTCCCTAAAAGGCAAGGGAACAACTAAACCGGGGTCACCAAGTACTCAACCCTCAAATCCATTCTACCCCCTATTTCGGGACTTCTTTACTGGGAAAGCCACCCCTCCAGCATGTGTTCAGCAAAGTGTGAGGTCCAGAGATGAGTAAAGCCTGCCTGGGTCACAGTCCGCCTAACCCATTCTCATGATCCTGACCACTCTCGCTCTTCCCCACATTTCCACATCCTCCATCTTCCCCTCCCCCACCCTCACCCCCAAATCCAGCAAGGGAATTTAATTAATATTGCAGTAAAGGGTTTGAGATAAGATAACAAATCAGGAAATAGAATGAGATCCTCACTCTTAAATCTTCAGCAGAGATTGGAACTAGCACTACTCAAGCCTTTGTAGAGAGTGGATCGGGAGGGGCCCCATCCACATTTCCTTCTGGACTTAGAGCCTTGATAAACTATGATTCATCGTCTGAATCCTAGTACAAGTGTGAGGGTGAGGTGGGGAAGGGGGGTTCAGACTATTTCTCCTGTAATCCAGCCTCCCATCACTGTGTTTGAGCGGGTCCACTTTAGAAAATTATTTGTGCCCAGAAAGTCTGGGCCTCGACATCTCTTATAATAGCCCCAACTCTTGTGTTAGAAATGGGAATCAAGGACCACGGGAAACCGGAAAGAAGAAATGGTCTCATCCTTGGGTTTTGAAATGATCCCGCCACCACCACCAGTGGGGAGATTCCCTCTGCACCCACAGAACAGCATATGGCGAAATTTAGGGATTAACTTTAATGAGAGAGCGGGACCTAGGTAGGGCTTTTCTGGGGACAACGAAGGCTGTGACTGAAGAGAAAGCCTCTCCGGCTGCATCCCGGGGGAGCTCAGAGGTAGGAGGCTGGACGACTCGGCCTGGGGCTACCCCTCTTTCTTCTCCCCATCTTCCCACAGTCCCTGTAACCTTGGACGCGGCCTCGGCCCACCTGGACCTCATCCTTTCCCAGGATCTAACGACAGTGACGTTGCACCTCTTCCCTCGGGGCAGGTCGGAGGAGCCCGCCAGCCCCGAGCGCTTCTACCTTCCCGCAGCGTGCTGGGCTCGCCCGGCCTCTCCTCCAGACGCCAGGCCTGGGAGGCGGAGCTCCAAGGGCCCGGGGGGCGGGGCCTGCGTGGTGGGCGGGGCCTCGGAACTAGTGCCCAGGCCCGGCTTCCTGATCATCGAGCCTTTGACTGGTTTCTGGGCGCTGCGCATCACCGGCTCTGAGTGCCGGGCGCTCACTGAGGGCGGCACCTGGGAGGATCTCCCGGTGCGTCCGAAGACAGTGGGCGTCCGCGTGGATCATGAGGACGGGGAGGTCGAGTTCTACGATGCCACCACGGGCAACCACATCTACACCTTCCACGTCTCCTTCCCAGGACAGATCTTCCCCTTTTTTTCAGCTCCTGTTTTCCGGCACCCAGATTACCCTGAGTCCCTAAGTGATTCCTTTTCATTACTCTCCGTCTCCGCCCCACTACACCCTCACTTTGGGATGTGCTGCAGCTGGTAAGGTTGAAGCTGGGCTTCCAGTAGCTTTTATGGAAGGTTACACCCTTTACGCTGCCTGACCCAGGCCTGACGTCTCTGACCCTGCTTTTAATGTTCTTTCTGGGCCGGCCCCGTGGCTCAGTTGGGACAGCGTGGTGCTGACAACACCAAGTCAAGGGTTGAGATCCCCTTACCGGTCATCTTTTAAAAAAAATAATAATAATAAATAAATAAATATATGTTCTTTCTTTCTCTCAGTCCCCCACTCCCCTCCCCCACAATATGTCTGGGTCAGAAAGAAAGGCTCAAATACACGAAAAGGCTGTACACTAGGATATTCGTTGCAGCACTGTTTGTAATAGG